ACACAATTAGTCATGTTAAATAATCGGGCTCGAAGCTTATATGTGATTAAATGTTGTGGAATTCATACGGAATGCTTACAGTGTCATTTATAAAACACGTGAATCTGAGTTAGTTAATCGTTCAATGAGAACATACCATAATAAAAACCAATATATTAAAAAAGAAATCTAATAGCAGTTCTTTTTGTGTGAAAATAGCTTATAGGCGTATGCAAGTGTCTAGAACATTTTTAATATGCTGCTCCAAAATCAATCTAACAAGATAATTGAAACATAAGCTCACTGAATTGTGCACATGAGTCCAGACCGGCTACCTGTAGCGAGAGACCTAGGCTGATCAACGAACTCGAATTGAGGTGCGGGGTCGATGCCTTCACGGTCAAAGTAGGCCCGAAGAGCTTTCTTCGGATCATCCAGGTAGCTGGTCTCATGGCTTAAACAAGAAGCACCATCAAGAGGTTGAGTGGTAAGGGAAGGAACCTCATCAAGTTCATCTGTTAATAAAAATAAATGAGAAACTTTAAAAACCGTCATATATATAAATCACATAAGGTTTATTCACCCTATTTCGTTTAAAGTGTTGAAGGAATGATAGTTGAATTCTGCCAAAATTATATGATTGGACCCTACATTGCGCATAGCCTCGCTTACCAAGAGGTATTCTCATCCATTGTGGACTGCAGTTTCAACTTCACCTATATCTCATCCGTACCTCTAGCGGGACTCGAACAGTGAAAGTGCAGCGTATAATCTCGACACATTAGCCATTTAATATTATATCATATTGGGAAAATGTAACTACTAATCGTAATCACCTTAAAAGAAATAGGGTGAATACATCTTATATATATGAGCTACTGGTAGTCTCAAAAACCTACTTTAACGAAAAATAAGTAATATAGTCGATTGCTATCCCAAATACAACTGCTTCATTGGTAATCCCCCAAAAAAATGCTCGGCCTTCCTTGTAGTTCTCATCTGCCTTGAGGCTCAAGGGCACTCGTAGCAGTGACATAGTGGTTTAAGTGGGTAGATTATATGCCACCCTATCACGGTTCAAGTCCAGATGAGGATATCGATGGAAACTAAGTGAGGTCAAAACTGCCGTCCACCCTGGATGAGAATACATTTTGGGAAGAAAGGCTAAATGAAATTCAATGGAAACGTAAGAGCTACTCGCATCATTTTGGGAAAATGATAGATATGCTGAGAAGACTGAGCTTAACTAGAAGCATGGGTCAATATAGAAAAAAATTAACTTTTTCCGAAAATATAGCTTTATTTATCATACAAAATATCCTGTCCATAGAAAGGACTATCACTTGTTTGAGCATAATTTCACTTGGCTATAAAATAGTTATGACAGCTACGAGATAACGGTCGGTTCGCAAAATATAGTGTAGAAATCATTGGGTCTCACTTCAAGTAATGAAATTCGGGCGCTTAAGCTGCTAAATTTTCAGAGAAATGGAAGCATTTAGATATCAGCAGAATGTGTTGGTGAAGAGCAAATATAGATGGATGACGTTTTTGATAAATCTACAGGACAATTTGTAAATAACCAAATATTTTTCTCCCAAAGAAGAAAGATAGCGATCGAAGGAATTCAGTCAAGATGAGATAAAAAAACAAAATAAAACGAAATTGTGAAATAAATGTAATAACCAGATGGATTTACCTTGGAAGCCCCACAAGCAGGATGAATCAAAAAGTTCCGAAGTAGTAGCTTCGGTGCTTAATGGAAGTGGCTTTTTAATATCGATCTTCTTATCACTACCTATATAATCATTAGCTCGATTGAGCT